GCCTCGAGCATCTCGAGGTAATGCTGTGGAGGCGGACTTGCTCCGTCGCGCTCGCTTTGTTCTTCCTACGGGAGTCAATGTATTCCGGTCTCTATGCTGTCGACTTATTTTCGGTGTAGCGTCGGATGGCCGAACAGGTCGGTTCAGTCTACACATTCACTTACAAGCAAATTCGCGTAAACCTCGTTGAGGCTGTGTCGGAAGGGGGAAAGGGGAGGGGGTGGGGAAAGTCGAGTCCGACATCTGATCCGGTAGCCGGTTAGCTCTCGCGAGAAGCCCTCTGCCGGTATATCCCTTCATTATTCCCCTACGGACGACTGCTGAGCTGATTGCCGGAAAAAAAAATTATTCAGGAAGATGACTTCATGAATCATCAATCAGTTCGTTGGCAAGGCGTCGATTGTACTCTTGATCTCGTCAAAAGAACATTCCCTATGTATGTATCCATCGCGATTCAGAGCTTACGCTTGCTCTGGCTAGCTGTTCAGCTCGGACGAGGTTCAAGAAACACTTCCGTGTCGATTCGCCAAATTCATGAGCTCAGATCTTCCGATCGGCATTCTGATCCGATGGTGTATCGCATCGTGACATTTGCATTCAAATTGCTTGACTCTGGCTAGGAATGATGTTCCAGTGATCATCGAGAAGCCACAGAAGCGATCCCCTCAGTCTCCGAGGAAACTTGCAAGAGTTGCGCGGAGCCTTCTCGGACTTGCCTACAGAATGGATCGAGCGCCCGAGCGGACGACCAATCGTCAAACCGAGCGAGCGTCCGCAACCAACCGAACGATGAAACGAGCAGGCCTGTGAAAGGAGCAATGGAGCGTTTGAGAGGAATTTTATGATTTTATTGTTGCCACCTTCTTCTCGTTGTTGTTGTTCGCGCTGCAACTGCCGCATTGTTATCCTCATTGTTGGTGTCGCAGCCGCAACTATCGTCGGAGTTGTTGTTGTTGTTTGGTGGTGGCCGGAGGACTGCTCTGCAGCGGAATGGACATAATTCGATTCAGTGCTCCGTTCACAGCTCTATAGTTCCACCGATGAGTGAGGATGATGTGGAGGGAACTTGGGCTAGAGGTGACATTCGAGTGGAGAGCTTGTGAAGGCACTGCAAGTGAACTTCTGAACGGATCCTCAATGGTCGTTCCTACAGGGGCGCTGAAAGAACTGCCGCGTGCTCGACTCACTCACAGCAGACCTACCCCCGATCGCGGCGAAAAATAGAGACCGCCTCGTCTCATGTCACAAAAGCTCGGACGACTTGAGTGAAATTGACACTGTGAGCTTTACGAGAGCGAATATCACGACAAATTCTGATCATGTCGTTGGAAGAGGTCGTAACGATGATGCGACAATCGCTCAACAGCGGGCGCTTCCTCTGAGAACGGACGGACCGACGGACGCCTACCTACGACAAACAGAAATGACTTGAGCAGCGGAGCGTCCTCCTTAAGGGAATTCTTCACTGATCTACTACAGCATTGTGTCCTGGTATGGGTTTGTTTGCGTCCCGTTTGATCTGACCGCGAGCCGAGAAGTACCCAACTTCTGCCCCAGCGCTTTCCCCTTCGTACAGGGACGCCTCAGACAAGAGCTCAGTGACAAACGGCTGTGGGTTTTTCCCCGCAGCGAGGCAGCGAAGAGCCGTCTGGAAGTTTCCTAATTCCAAGCCGCCAGCTGACGGGTGAATAAGGGACATGCCATCAAGAGTGATTGGTTCCTGTCGGAGACGAAGCTCAGCTCCTGAGTGCCGAGGGTCACCAGAACTCGGAAATTTTGTTTTTCCGCAGTCCTTGAAGGGAATTGTCCCGCATGTATCATACGCGGTTAGTATGCGATTTGGTTCACTCCATTCCGTGAAGTCCAGATCGTGTCGGTCTCTCGTCGGAACGCCGTGACCCCGGCTCTAAAAGGGAAAGCTCCTTTCGGCGAAGAAGGAAAACAAGGTGCAAGACATGATGGGCGGACACACAATGGACGTCCGATTGAGAGCATGTTCGCTCTTGCGCGCGTGTGGTCTCGAAGTTTACGAGCAGAGTATGTCTTATCAAATGAGTTCCTCTTGCGGCTCCTTTAGTCGATCACGCTAATCTAATTCGAGCTTCGATTGTGCGCAAGAAAATTCGGCAAAGCCGAGATTCTTGTTTTGTTCGACGGTCAGCACTAATCCGTTCACCTCGGCGGTCGACGAAATATCTCGTGGGCACAATGCGCACGAGCTTCTGAACTCAGTCACTCGATGCTCTCCGGGATCGCTTCAGAGCCCCCGCTCAGGCTTTGAGCGTTTCCCCATCGGATAGAGGGACCTACCTGGTGGTATTCAAAGAGATTTAGTCGACGAGAAGAAATTATTCACTCTAAACATCCCCTCGAGCGGGACTCTCGGCGATCGCAGTAGGGCGCGCAACTACGGAATTAGGACAATTTTCAGTGATCAATCGCGACGAAATGACCGCAAAGGGTCGCACGACGTATCCGATACTATTGGCGTTTCCCGTCACGCTCCGGAAGAGCAGCGTCTCGAGAAAAAATCAGGCAGCTCCCTGTTCCTCTCAGAGTTTCGATCGATGCTTGCGTGAGTCATAGAAATGACGCGCGCTTTCGTTCGTAGGCGATGTTCGCATCGCGCAGGTTTGGCTGCCCGAATCCTGGAAAGTCGATACTGGCAAATGGCACATCTCATGGCCGACGGATTCGTTTTATGATTTCTCCGGAGAGTCAAGTCAGAATGACACAGTTTCGCTCGAAATGGATCGTGCCCTCGTTGTTCATTATCGGAGTTTGTAAAAGAAAGCTCCCCGCGCGATCACTCGTTACCGTCATCCACGTCGAGCCGCGACCAGAAGTCTAACCCCGCCATCGGCCCCCGGAGTAAGCTTGCTTTCAGAGAAGAGCCTGCCTGAATTGCCCTCAAACACGACCAATATACGCCATCGAGGCTGAGGTCCTTTAGACTTTGACCGAAACCAAGTTCACTGAAACCGAAAGCTAATAAAACATCGCAGCGAATGAGAGAGGCTCTCCGAGAGGCAGGAACATGTTTTCAAATTTGGAGCTCCATTAAAAGTCGGCATCATGATCAGTGAAGAGACGGAGCAGCGCTCGCCCGAAGAGCTCTCTCCGACCCGCGGCTCCGATGGAGACGGGACAAGAAGAAAGGCAAATCTCTCCAGAATTCGAACACCAAAGTGTAAATTCAGGCACCCATCGGCATATTCTTCTGCTTGTAGAGCCTATGCCGGTTCCCCTGCTGCCCGGGTTCTCGGTCAGACCTAGTCGTTGACGAACAAGTGTCGAGCTATCACCATGGACTCTATTCTCGTACGAAATGAATTCTGTACGTCGGTTGTCGCCGTCTACGATGTGACTTGAAGCAGTACGATTACCGGTCGCTGAGAGAGCGGAGCTCGAGACGAATGCGAGCGTAATGTTCTATGCCTCCGAACTCTCCGTCATTCACGATCGGCATGGTCGTGGAATACCCTCGGCTCCGGCTGACATTTTTGGTGATCAGCTATTCCCATGCCGAAGGCGACACGTATGGTCCGAGACTATGCAGAGACCTCGGTACGCGCAGTTTTTTTGCGTACAAAAGGAAAGTGAATCTCCGGAGCGGCCCCTCTAACTTTCCGGAGTGAGCTCACCTTACTCTTCCTTCGAGAATGCGCACTGTGCACTGTCAATGAGATTCATTTCTCGAATCCCGATTCATGGTCGCAAGATTCCTGCTCCGAATGACTCAGGTGCCAACAATCACAATCGAAACTGGTCGACCTCCATGTCACCATCGCTACCCTTCTCGTCTGTCGCTCTTCCATGGCTCCCGCATCTTCCCACAACTGGCGTCCATTGGTGCACCTTGAAAAACTTTGCGAACTCGGAGAAGATGCCGGATTGGCCCGCTGATACCGTCGTCACGAAATAGCATGCGCGGGAAGAGATTGAACGGAAAAACACGTCACGTTCGGAGCGTCTTATGAGACCGGCAATAGAAACGCCATCCGATGATGGGATCGATCAGATCCGTTTGAGTTGAGTTTTTAGTGTGGGTATCCCCCTCGAGCGCAGTGAATGATAGCAGGATGTCGTGGGCGGTAGCGACCCGTAGGTCACCTGTAGGAGGCAAAAGTCGAAAAGGCTCGCAGTTTGCCTACGAGCTTCGATATGACGCTCCCGAGCGCTGGCTCCAGTACAGAGCTCCCCGAAGGAACCGAAATAATTGCCATTCCAGAAGAAACTCTCACGGAGCTTCATTTACCTGGCAATCGTAAGATCTAGGGTCTCCCTGTGCCAAGCTAAGAGCCCATGCTCCGCTTCAGAGAGGGGATTGCGCAAGCGAGTCCTTCTCGTCCCAGCGCATCTATGATTTCTCTTCCGGAAGACTGACGACCAATGAAGGTCGAACGGAGTCGACATCACGACGGAAGGATTGAACGATTCTTCTTTATCGTTTGACTGACCCAGTTCGTCCATGAATTTGCAGAAATCGTGTCGGATAATCGATGAAACAAAATTTATCTCGGCCTGCCCTGGATATGGGAACAAAAACTCGATCAGGGGGCGTGATAAGTAAGCACATGAGGATTAGATTGCCGCGTCAATTCGCGGCTGCCCTCCCCGTCACCGGTCGGCATAGATGATGTCGGCAGTCGCATTGCTTGCATCTACCTCTTTCTACTTTCCGTGGCGTAATTTCTCAGAAAAACTTCGAAACAAATGGACGGACCTTGATCTGACCGGAATGACGCAACAGCGACGGAGTTTCCACGTAAGGAACGACGGGAAGGTATTCTGTTTGAATGATTGACTTCTATCGCAGACCACGGAAGGAAGCGAACCCGCGGCGATCTCAATCCGATCGGAAATAAGTGAAGTGGGAGCTTTCGGGGCGCTCAATGATTGCATTTCATTCCGAGATCAGTACGAAATGTTAATTCCGACACTGCCAGCCTAAGCAGCCGGCTCCAGCATTTTCCTGCGCAGAGCCCGTCGATATAAGGATGTTCATCGAGAGAAAATTGATCCAATCGTTCAAGAAGGTATGTCGAGTCCGCCAAAGCTAAAATTTCTATCGATTCAGATTCCCCAGGGTCGAGTGGTCGCGCAACTTAGTGAGCGTACCAGACCCGGACTAGAGTTAGAGTTGCCCGAAGTCCACTTGTATGAAACAGACTCACAGAGTCGTTCGGAACGGCTAAGCGAAAGCATATTATGTAGTGTTTGCTGCAGAGTCGGCGAGAGCAGAGCTCACTCCGGGCTCTGAGTGGTTCGCCTAGTCTCCTCCCAGCCTCCCTTTCCCAGAGACTCCCAGAGAGTGGAGAGTCCGAGAGCTTCGGTCCCTACTCCCGAACTCGAGCAGTTAATTATCCCACGATACACAGTGAGGAGCTCCTGCTCGTACTCACTCACTCACTCACTCATCCGCCACCCACGGTCCACTTACTGACGTTGAACTAGACTCACCTCGACTGAAGATTTCGGGAGTACTGAGTGAGGGCGACCAGAGTACAGTCAAAGTTGTTCGACAGTGCCGTCCGCCTGAGTGCTTCAGTCTCTACAACATCTAGTGCCGAAACAGTGCGTCCATGTGTGCAATGCCCCATACATTCTAGACTAGGAGAGCGCGCACAGATAATGAGTATATCGGTAAGTTCGATCACTGAACGGTCGCCTTTAGAGGAGTCTCGACTGAAATAGCTTTCTATGCCCAATCGCGGATATATAATATCTCTGCGGATTCCCCTCGGAACCCGCGACCCGGCCCCGAGGGCTCGGGGCTGAACCTAACAACTCACGGGTCACGCTTCACGCGACTCACGGATCCACGATGGCAGCTCGATTCCTACCTCGTGGCGCCGGCTGTCAGGGATGTTATTCGTGGAGATGGGATTTTCTCGAGATCGGCTCAGCTCAAAGTTGGAGTTGATTGAATCTGTGTCTCTGGAGAACCGGTTGATCGAGCATGCGATCGACAGGGGTTGCGAGCTGAGCTCAACTCGGTCCGAATGTTCGGAGCGACTGTGGTCGTGGATACGTTTGAATGAAAAATTCGCGTACCTACGACCATCGGCACCCTAATCACAGAGGGTGGCAACCAGGGAGTATTTTTCGCCTCGACCGGGCCGTCCGGCTTCAGCCTTCCAGAGTTTCAACCTGAGAGCTCACCATCCAGCGGGAGTTTCGCTCGACATCGCTCTGGACGGAAGGATTTCTTATGGCCTATTGTCTCTCTGAATGGACACTATTTATCATTGAGCTAATGTGCGCTCATGGTTAGGGAGCAATTATTCGAGGACGAGAGCCTATGGAGAGCGGTTCATGGGAGGCATCCTCAGTCGACTTCAACTCCCTCGGGGATGGCGTGGCTCGTCGATCCTCGACACTCCGATCCCCCGCGTACAACGAGACATAACCTAGGTCTAGAAATCTCATGTTGGATTGGATGCCAAGTATCATACACGACATGGGTACAGGATGTGTCGAGATGACTAGATGGAACTCCATTCGATGGATCCCCGAAACTGTACAGGGAATTCTCGCTCGAGCTTCGAATAGAAAGCCGTCGTAGAGGGGAGCTTCTACTCCCCTGATCCTTCTGCCGTTCTTCGGTCGAACATAATTAGCGAGAAGACCGGGCGTCACTTGACCATGATGGGGGTCTCGGTCTGTTGCTCTGACTACCGATCGGATCTGACATTCAGTACTGCTGACGTTCGAACGCGTTCCCTGCTGAACCACAGCACGATCAAGCGGGAAGATCACGGCACGATCAACGCTTACGTCACTGCAATGAGAACAGAAGGAGTCTGACATCAGAGGAAATTCTTCCAATACCCAAGCCGAGAGCTCCGATCGATCGCAGTCGTAACTAGCGGAGTGTATCGGAGCTTTTTCTCCAAGAGGTCCGTCGGATACCCTCTCGTTCTTCGGGGGCGTCCGCTTTCGTGCATTGCCGCGGGATGTCGGTCGGTAGTTACGGCCATCGGTTCGACGTTGCTGATTGTGGGATATAATTGCTTTCGGTTGTGAGCACGATCCGTTTTTATGACTTGTTCTGCCACGATATGGTCGGACAGCTGAAGCCACGGCTGTCCATGGCATTTAAGCAATGAAAGACGGTAGCCTTCGTCTGCGCCAGTCAAGTATGCGCTAACCACACCCGGCCCGTCAATATCGACTATTGACCGCCGACTCAGAACCCTCGCGGGAAATTTCAAGAACGGCTCGAAGGAATTCGATCCATCAGTAGATCAGTGCAACACTTGTTGATTTGAACTGGATGGCGTTGATAGAATCGGCGATAGGCCGCATTGGATTCGATTCACTCTCGCTTCGGGCGAGTTAGCTTTTCTCGTGTATTCTGAGCTGTGGCTTGGACGCTCACTCAGACGAAATTTCACCACTAAACCGGCTCGAGCTGGTTGATCTCAGCGCTGCTCCCGAGGTGATCACCGTCCTCAATGGATGAGCGGAAGAAGCGACCGTCGAGTAAGCCATCGAGCGAGGAATCGACAATCATTAAAGCGTGGGCGTTCAGAACTTCGTTGAACACTGCGTTCCTAATGAGGTTAGTCTCGGATGTCTCGTATTTTCGGGGAATTCGACCTCATTTCTACAAGAACCAGTTGTGTACTTACCTGTCGGTGCGTCGGTTTCGACTATCGACCCAAAGATCGATCGCTCGGATGCCCGCTCAGTCTCGGCTGTGTTCCTGCGGAGAGACATCTCCATCTCTTCTACGACCCACGTACCTACCAGAAGCCCAATGTCTCGAAGAAGCCATAAAAGTTCGACACTCCGGCAACTGCGCACCCACGGCTGGCCGAGTCCGCGCTGGTGCTAGAACCACGAACTTCATCTCCCGATGGTCACCGAACTCACCGAAACATGCCAAGGGACCCGAATCGTCGGATAGAGGGATGATCCCGAGCGGAAGAATGAAGAATCAAACAGACGTCACTCGTTTTGAGTTTTGCAATAAAATCGAATCAAGAGGTCGTCGCATGCCATGCGTCATAAATTGGCTGATTCGAGCGAGAGATCGAAGCAGCTCAGACTGTCATCACCTCATCAAGTTGTTGAGGAACCAAGCTGCCGACCAACGAACGAGTGCGCGAGCGAATCCCCTCGCCGGGGTGTATGTAGCTGCCATTCAATCTGATGTCGCGCAGAGTGTTACTCAGAGGATTGCAGTCTTCCCCTCCTCGTCGTCGTCACAATTCTCACGACCGACTCGGATCCGGAGCGGTCGAGAGCTATGCAGAGAAGAACCATCTCAGTCAGCCACTTAACTCTAAATGTAAACACTGCAACGGGGTTTGAAATCTGATTAGAGCCCTCTTCCATGCTCGACCATCTTTCCATGGGCAGTCACCCACAATTATCGAGCGCTCCTGACCGTTATTCTCCGAGCGACCGGCACGAGCGCCAGGAGTTGGTGAGCTCGACGGAAAGGAAGGCCAGCCCGAGCCTCTCTTCCGGAGAGTATCTATGCAATATCGGCTGATATGACCTCACCTGAATGAGCCGAGATCATCTAGAGGGCAGAGACCGCCTCCGCGGTCGCGGAAGGTTTTCGGGGGAGCTCTTCAGCTGGGGTAAAGGGCTCCCACGTTCTGTCGTCTCAGGCCCACGACCTCGCTCTGCTTCTAGTGGAGCCCCCGAATTGACTCTCGTACGCGCTGGATGACTGCGATCGGCGCAGAATCTCACTCGTACCGCTGGATTCTGAGCTCCGCCCTTGCCTGCCACTGTTTTCCAGCGTAGCAGTCCGGCTCACAGTGCGTGGCTCTGATGTAAATGGTCGCGCCGATCGAGGGAATTCGTCCTCCTCGACACGGCTAGGATTCAGAGTGTAGCGTCATACTATACCTACGTCTCAGATTAGGAGAAGTAATGCGAGTCCACTGAGTGAGCCTAACTCGGCATTGAACCAAACCCTTCGAGACGACCACTCCTTTCGTCCGAACTCCCGGGGAAATGCGAGAATCCGCTCCTTCGACCGCTCCGCGAGGCTCGCCAGAGACCTCCCTGATATCACACTCAAAACATTTCTCGAACCACAAGTGGATGGACGAGAGAACACCCACGGAATCGTTTGCACCACCCAAGCAGAAGCGCCCCGGACTGATCTGAGCGAAGATACGCACTGTCGACTAGTTGAAGCCAACGAACTCCCAAACAACCGAAAAGCCAACTACCTAAAGGGCATTCATGCACTCATTCTTCCATCTGTCCGCGGAATCGATAGAGACGATGTCTGTCAGAAATCGACAAGCACCATCAGGATCTTTTCTGTGAGCTGCGACAGTGAGAAACTCTTGGGGTGCCCGCCAAACAGTAGGTTCCGCTGAGTTGTTCTCATCAATGGGAGTCCAATTCCATCTGTTTAGCTTCTTGGAAATCAGTTCAGAGTCTGAATCGATCCGCGCCGGGAGCCGACGCACCAGACGCAGAAGATGAGTTCGAAAAAGAAATATGTCCAGTGCTTGAATTGGAACTTTGAATCAATCCGGGTTCGAGCTCGGATTCCTCCTGGGAGGCGTCGGCAGCGAGAAGCTAAATTCATATCGAATGCCGGAAAAGGAGTGGAGGAGTGGTGTCGTTCAAATCACATAACTTCGGTCAACCGAGAGCGGTTCGTAGCTATCTTCCGACGTAAAATAGGCGGGAGATGCGACTTCCTCCCTCAGTTCTGGAGACTAAGAGATCCCGAACTCGAACGATCACGAGGGCTTCTGGGGCTGATTGGAGGAAAAGCAACAGTATTTGTGGTTTTAAAGAACTTGTCGAAGACCCGTCGTCGGACTGCTTCGTCTTTCCTACCGAGAATCGACTAGAGGTTTGCTCACGAACCGCGAAGAGCAATAAACAGTTCAGTTTGACTGTTTCAGGAAAGCCAAGCCTGTGGAGGCAGTACTGCGATGTCTTCGGCGCCCTCCTCGCCCGTAAGTTACACCCCTCCATCCCCGACGTCGGACTCCACTCACGAGCCCATTCTAAAGGCACAACAAGCTGCTCAACAGAGTCTCTCCGCTGCAGCACAGAGGTCACCGTGTTTTCCATTATCGCTTCTGTATGGCACACAGGTAAAGTTGCTCGAGTTTCTGCACGTCGGCACGTAACACATTATGTGATTTCTTGTCCGGACTTTCCTTTGCCGTGATCACAGCGCGAATAAGAGTGAAGAAAGAACGCGATAAGCCTAAGGAGAATTCTGATCGGCATTTCCGCGTGTACGAATGTCTTCTTTATAGCGAGGACTTTATTCAAGAATTTCCTCTCACCACCAGGTTCCGAGCAGTTATCTCTTCGTTGGCTCGCCTCCGTTCCTCTCGCATTTGCCTAGCCCGGATCCTTCGCAAATCCCAGCTTTCATGAATCGAAATCTGATGTTCGGCGCCCATCAGGGCTCCGCTTTCACCGATTTTCTTGTGAAGGAGAAATGCCTCGACTTTGCTCGAAACTACCAACGAGCAAGAAGTTCGCTCGAAGTCATTCAACAACAACAGCAACAGCATCAACAGCAGCAACAACAACAACAACAGCAGCAGCAAGCTGCCCAGCAACAAAGTCGTCTTGGGCTCGGATCAGGGCAAAATTGGCGGTCGCCGCTCGAGCTGCTAAAGGTAGACGACAATCTTACTCAGACTTCCGATTCGGAAAAGGCATCCCAAGGCACGACCGAGCCCCCTCGGTGGGATAATCTTTTACGGCTTTTCAATCCGTCTATTCAATTCCGCAAGCTGTCGAGCCCAAATCAAATACCCATGTGCCCTATTTGCGGCATCACATTGACATCGCAGCAACTACCAGAGCATTTCGAATTCGAAATGGAAAAGTTATCCAGCGACAGAAGGTGGATGGCTCAAAGCGATAGGACTCAGGAAGACGACATGGTGAGTTCAGAAAAACTTTTCCGGGTTCAAAGGAATGGGTTCAGTTCGAGCAGACCGAACATCACTTATCTTTAATGTGTCGCTGACGATAACCCTGGTCAGTGTACAAAGCGATGCTTACGAGCTACCGCTTGATGCACTCGTCGATGTGTGGTGCAGCGTAAGATCCGATCCGCACGCACCATCTGCTGCTGCTGCTGCTGCGGGCAATTGGCGGTTGGAACGAACTCTCGATGTCATCGTCGTTGCTGTCCTTGTGATCGTCGTCGAGTTGAGAAATCTTTTGATGACAGATCTGGCTGCGTTAATCGGATAAAAAAATGTTTATCTAGTTTCAATTCCGCTTTGATTGACTGAGGAGATTAAAGAACAAGCCAGCTTGCCGAAGAGACACGCCGCGCCGGCCCGAGCTCGCTCACCGGCTGACTGACTGGCTGACAGTATCCCTATGTATGTCTCTCCAGCACTCAAAGCTCTCTATCTTTCGAAAAATAGCTTTCTTCTCAAGGCCCCTCCTGCGATCGGCCTTGCGGCATGGCGCATTGGAACGACTGATATCCAAAGAGCTGCTGAAAAGACTGGCTGCTTCGGACGGCTGGGATTCTCTTTTCTGTTTTTGATGGGATCTGTGTGCGAGTCGAGCGGCCGACGAGCGAGAGGACGAGCAAGCTGCTTAGGTGGCTAACGTGCTCATCATGCTCGCATGCACTGATCTCCGAGCATTTGCAGAACAAAATAAGCGGAGTCTAACAATCACAAAACGGGTCACGGGATTATGGGATGCGCGCGGCACAGATGTGCCTCGGCGGCACCAGACCTCAGAGGGAACTGCTACAGTTCTCGAATCTGAACTTCGGTGACGAAGAGATCGTGAATCCCCCATTGGGAGAGCTCGAAAACTCGGAAGTCCGCTGGAGCGCCCTCTGATTCGAATAGACGAAAGGGACATTCGTCTCGAATACGCACCGGCGGAAACTGCTCAACCCCGCTAATCGGCCTCCTCTGTATTTTCCAGACTGATCAACAGCTGGAACGTCTTTGTCGTCCACCTTACGGAGCGGAAAAACGGTCACCACTCTCTCGCTGGGAGGTGAGTTTTCACGATGTGATTGAATTGATGCTTACCTACCACACCAAGAGTCATCCGACCCCCTGCTGCGACCTCTTCGATCTGAGACAATGAGCAATCGAGATAATGAATCGCTTTCCGAAGCAGCACAAACGGGATAGTCCAGTCAGATCGTGAGCTCCGAAAATGACCTAATCGGTCGTGGACATCTCGATAGAATAAGCTCGTCAGGATCATTCTCGATTCGATCAGCGATCCGAGACAGAAGTTTCTCCCGGTCTCGCGAGGGCATTTCCTCACCCCGATGGTTGAACAATTCCGTCGATACATTCCATTGCTTTCCTCTCCACCGTCTTCCGATTCGCCTCTGTTCCGCAGCTATCTTTTCACTTCAGATTTGACAAGTTTGTCGACGGAGCCTTCAAGTTCAATTTTGTTCCTACGCGTGAACGCTCACATACTCTGACACTCAGACGCTCACAAAAATACGAGAGCGACCGGGCAGATGGGTTGTGCCGGTCCTCGTAGATAGACGGACCCTCGCTCGGATGGATGGCTAGGTACCGGATTGAAGAGAAAATCCAACTCAAAACAATACTCTCATCTCGGACTTGTACGACATTCGTTTCGCTTTCTATTTCAGACGTTTCAGAAGGTGCGTGGCAACCGACAACATCGCCTTAACGGTAAGTGGCTACAGCAACGAGCGCTCAGAAGTAGGACGCTGAGAGCTATCGCTGAAAATGTTTATCCAGATCCGGGCCTCCATCTTTTTCGTTAGTAGTTTGTTTTTCGATGTTCATCCTGTTCCTCGCTTGCGGTCCTTCGCTCGAAGCGAAACTTTCGGGAGCCGTCAGCTCCTGTTCACTCACTCAGCCAGTGAGATCAATGGGTGAGATTGATCCCGCTCTGAGACTAGCACTTCAAAGTGACTCTCTCTTCTCACTGAGTGCGTGATCCCGTGCTCTGGGCTCTGTAAGTCTTCTGCAAGTGCACTCAAACTCCGAGTGCACACCGAGCGCGCTCTGTGAAAATACACTTATATCGATGTTTAGATGTCTTATATATGTATGTGAACAATTCTCACTCAGTGTGACTGTCTGAAAGACTCTAGGTGGGATTTTTATCATTTCCAACGGCCGCCACCTGGTCTGCAAGCTGGATTGCGGACGTTCGACAACAAGGTCTCAGTCGGCGTGCGGCTCCAGCTCCGAACGCTCCAACTCTGGACGTTCGGGTCTCTAACTCAGACTCGATGCTCTTCATCGTTCCTATCTAAATGCCGGTGGCGTTTCCCTTCGACGTTGTCCCTTGCCGGCTCGTCGGGGAATAGCCGCATACCGTGGACACTCTAATGGAGTTGCCGGCGTCTGGGAGTCTCGGACTCGTGCTGCCAACTTTTCCTTCTCCTTTGTTTCCTTGGAGCCCAGCATATGGACCAGTCGAGTCGGGCTTCTCTAAGGCTGGAGGGAGACGCGAAAAAGAGAGAGTGGGACCCGCATCGGAGGACGGACGACCAGGACACGGGTCGAGTGTCAATTTTTCTCGAGACTCGACTGGAGACTGGACTCCAAGGGAACTCTCACTCAACGACTCTGAAAAAGTCACTCAGACCGCCGCCGCGCCGACGCTGTGAGGAAACCGCTACAAATCGACCGGTGGTGTGAAACGGTTCTGAGATACAAACGGATGGTTCGAGGCGAATGGTGCTTTGATTGTCACCGGTCCCTCCAGTGGTCACTCATTCCCACGAATCGATATGCCCCCCTTGCGAAGCTTCCATGGCTTGCCGTCAACTCCGCAATCGCAAAAAATTCGTATTCATTCGGGTTCTGCGACGATTCGTGATACAACACAGGGGCCTTGTGTCGGGTGCTTGGCTCTGGATCTGAGGAGCCCTTGCGGCGTCTCGAGCCACCGTCTTGTGAGATAGCTCACGCGCAGGGCTTCGTTGGCAAACTTTGAACTCAATGAGCGTCCTCGCAAGGCGGCGAGCTCGAGCGGATAACCTCGTTTTAAATGATGTCCTTAAAAACTCAATTAGCCAAATGTGCTGTATGCACTCAGCGGCTGACACCAGCTCAGACATCCTTGTAGTCAAGTGCTGACGGGAGTTGTCCGCGGCCAATGCTCTCTCTCTCTCCTTCTCTCCTCCTCTCACTATCTCACTCAGTGGAATCAACTCTGAACGGACTCGAGCGCTCGAGACTTGAGACTACTCATAGGAAACAGAGTCGCGCACTGAAAGCATAGGATCGACCTCGAGCGAGTATTTGAATGCAGGAATTTTTTTCATTGCAGCGAAAATCCGGAAGGAAGAGGAGAACAACCCTTGGGATCGGCATTATGGTGAGTATTTTTTCGCAAGCCGTGTACTTTCATCACGTTGGCTTCAATCGACTCAAACTTCTGCTCCGAGACTTCGATTTTGTGAACTCAGAAAGAAACCAAATCACGGCCGCGAGCGAGACTTTTTCCGGTGAGAAAAATGGGTCAGTCTCCGAGTGACCTCTCGCTCTCGCGAGCACGTTCGGAGTTGTTGTCGCCGGTGGGGCAGCTCCCGCCATAGAAGTCGATTAGTATTCCGCGCAATTGTGGTTCAGCCTGAAGTGCCCCCGTCTGTTTCGCCCACATCTTCCTCGTTCACGCTGCGGAATTTCCACCGAGCCCTCGGCGAACCCAACCTCGCTGGTCAGATAAGCGATGACCTGAGTTGAATACAATTGGACGGAACCATAGCTACAATCTGTTACCTCTCGATGGACAGCCAGACCGACCATTCGATTCCTTCTTCGCTCGCTCGCTCGACCGACCGACCATTCGACAAACGTGGAGCCCAAAGCGACTGATCCTGCGATTAGGTCTCTGCTGCTGAAGCCGTTGAAGTAAAGTTCACCGAGGAATTGGAATTCTCGTTCGTTGACGAGACCGGCTTATACCGCGGCAAAGGGCGGGGGGCAGAGTTCATAAAAATGTGAATCAGCATTTTCGCGAAGTGTGCCACTGTTTCGTCGTAAGTGGTGACTGCATGAATGGATGAGCGGAAAAAATGAATGGACGAGTGTATGCATCGATAGAGAGGGGGTTGAGAGGACGAATATACTAGAGGAAGTTTGCGCGCGTGAATGTCGATGTGTGTCGGGATTGATGCAAGTCCGGTGTCGAGTATCATCCGAGTGTTGGTAGGAGAGTAGCGCTTCGGAGAGAGATATGATGGGGTGGTTTCAGGTCGGGCGAGCGGTTGGCTGCTGGCTGGCTTGCTCGGCTCTGTCTAATTCGATTTAAGCGCTTTTCGAGTGAAGAGTTGAGGCTTTCGATCGCTTTCGTCGGGCGGCTTCTGAAACGACTCGAAAGGAGCATCTGTCGGGACGAGAGTACTTGACTCAGGAGTCACTTCTCACTAGACTCATGACTCAGCTCTTTCCCTTTTTACCTTCATTCCATCTGTGTGCGGATACGGCGCCGCAGAGGTCGTGGTTTCACTTCAAAGCCGTAGAGGTCGAGCTGCCATTTCAAGCCATCTTCATTTTCCGTCCAAGTATCGCTTTCACCATGAGTCAGTTTCGGCTCGCTGACAGCATGCCAGGTGAAGGATGAAATCTTTGGAATATCTGCGTGATGTGCGAGCCCTATGATCGCGCTTTCCCTTGCTCCTATTCTGGGAGCGACCTCGCAGCATCGATACTGCATTAGGCGACAATCGCTTATCGATCGAGTAAACCAAAGGAGAGTGGTCGGAGCTTCAATTGTCTCATCGACGCGTCCGGGTGTTCGCTTGGACCACAAATCTCGTCCGAGGGTCCAGTTGTGTGGACTCTCTGACGCGTAAGATGAGCTTTTCCATTGAAGCGGTAGACTTAACTAGGAATGGCATTGGGGGCGTGCAATGCTTGCTTGCCTGCCTGCCTCCCCGCCTGTATGACTAGTTCCTATCTGTGTCTAAGCCTCCCGGTTGCACAGCGCGACTACTCCTTCCAAATCCGCTATTTGTCACCTGAACAAAAAAGTCGCCGGAGGATTCCCCACTCACACATACGAGAGTTATGTGCGCGAGAAGCTGACTGACATCCACCCGATGCCAGCGATCGAGCCTTATCCCTAATCCTGTCAATGAGCTCCCTATCTGCCTTCAGACTGCCTTCCTGCTGCTAAAGGATGTAACAATCCGTTACAAGTTTACCGGGCACAACTATTGTCCGCTGCTCTGACCGAAATCCTTAGCTTCCGAGCGGTTAATTGCTTGTCCAGAGGTTGGCGAGTTGATCCGCGGACCGCGCGTTCGGTTCGCTCGTTTAGGAGGACCGATAGAGAGGAAATCCATTCAGATATTATATGTTGCACTCCTTCCAGCTTTCTCCGTGGCGGGGCGGAAACGCAGGACTGAGGAAATAACGAGTTCGCCTCTGGATCTGAAGGTAAGGGTCGGTTCGAACACAGTTTTCCTTTTTCTTCCTTTCCCGTGCAGAGATCCGATATTCATCGGGTCAGCCAAAGGGGAATAAAGGCGAGTGACAGGAACTCTACTTAGTCGATTGGCTGTCTGTAGAAGTGAACTGTCGTCGTCGTATTCGTCGTCGTCGATCCTACGTGGTTGGCCCGCGATTCTCGTCGTATTCAAATTAGGGGTTCTCGTATACATATGTTCCGGTATCTTGCGACCGCCTTCCGCGAGAAGAACTAGTGGTTCGTCTACGGAAGCCCTAGTTGTGATTGCGTTGAGCGTAACTGCCGCTTGTCAGGAAGCGATCACTGCTGCCACGGTGAGATCAAACGCCGGTGGCTGCTGACAAACGGGCTTTTTAATTTTGCGCTCCACTTGTTTTTTGCGCTCCCCGTGTTCCCCCTTGCCTCGCCAATGCAGTTTTCGACTTCGTGGTCTTCTCTCGTTCGAGAAAATTTCCATCGCAGAGTCGGAGCGGGTGTTTTCGCTTTCGTTCTCTACGAAAACTGCGCCAAAGAAGGGACGAGAACCAGGCGCCTCGTGCAGCAATGTTAACCGATGTCATCTCATGCCAATTCCAGCAAGAGCCCGGGACGGTCGTAGGAAATCAGGACAACAAGCGACATCAGGTCGACGGTAAGTTACCTTGTCTGCGCTCCGTTCTTTCATAGTTTCATCTCTGTTGCAGTGACAAGCTGCCTAGTCAGATCGGAGTCGGATCCCCCATCTCTCTCTCTCGTTCATCCTCTTTCTGAAATGTAACGAATCCTCTCGGGCTCCTCGATATCCACCCTCCGACCTCCGCATTCCTCTAGCTTCGCGGAGCGTGTCAGTCACTCGACGTCTCATTCTTTGCACGCTCCTCTTCCGATTCTAACATAAACGACTCGCTCTTCTCAATATCTTGCGCATCGAGTTGGAAAACAGTTCCTGTTAGCCACTCAGTCTTTCGGGGTTTGCCAGCCAGTCGAGCAGTCCACAGAATCTCGTGACATGGCCGAGTCTCCCCTTTTGACAATGGAATGCAATTCGTTTCAGTTGGAGCCAGTAGCCCGTCAGATGCTCCTCGACCATCGTCAGCCGATCGTCACTCGCACAGTCCCAAATCGCCTCCTACAGGCTCCGATGCAGCGTGAGTAACTTGCACTTCCTGAATAGCTTCATCCTCTACTTGCAACCATGTCGCCCGGATTAATAACGCGATTGATGGATGGTCGAATGAATGGGAGCGCGCAAACAAGGAACAGGTTGCCGGAATAGCACGCCCGCTTGCCAATAACAATCGGAATCTCGCCAGCTCTCGTACATGATCAGCGGCGGGCTCATTTGTCGAAATCACTGCCAACAAAGGGCTCAATCACCATTGCTGGAGGGAATGCAGCTCCTTCCGTCGCAGATCTTCTCTGCCTTGAATACCAGCTGGAGGAATATGCTTGTCTGACATAGGTCATTCGGCACCCGCGGTATCATTGGCCGATTGATTGATCATTTGTCGTTCATGGAATTGCCCAATATCTTGAGCTTGTTGTTCCACGGAGATGCGATCGCGATGAGCCTCGTTTCTTGAATAACGGGGCACAATGGGGGGCTGAGTACAAACACTTGGCCACTGTTCCCATCGTCGAAGCCTAATTCACATTCCAAGGCTCGCACCTGCTGTGTTTGCGCTCATATGTACCCTGCGAACCGCATTTTCCTCTCCCCTGCTTCTGAATAAGGAAGCGAAGTCCCCGAGGAGACAGTCCTTGAATTTCGCACCACAGAGGACTCCGCTCCGGGTGTCAGACTGAATACCTGGAGTTTGGTCTCAAGAAACTGAACTCGGCCATCCGCCGTCGTTCGATTACTCCTCGAAAACTCACGCTCTCTCTCTGATTACCGCACATGACACACCTTCGGAACTAGGCAAGTGATAGAGGGTCTCCGCGGGAGGAGCGACAAACGGATGCGAGAAGAGAAAAACCGAGATTCAGCCAAAAACAACGCAATTTATCCTCTTCCGACGAGACGAATAGTCCCGCCATCCAACCTACTCGAGATTTACCCGGCCGATTGGGATGACAGCAGGCAGCAGTGGAAGCTGGTCGTCCCCAGAGCCTTTTCAACTTGACGAGACAATAAACTGAATGAGAGCCCAACGTATACGAGCTATTCGGGAGCAGTATGTCCCAGTTCAGATTACCTGTGACCCACCCTAGATAAAATCGAGATTTCTCCATCACTACGATGGAGCAACTCCTCAGATACAGCTCTTGATTGCACGGACAGCACAGACTACGGACGGACTGGATGAGGGACTGGACTAAAAATCAATTGTAGACAATGGATACGACCGTTGGCGATATCTGTGGTGGCAAGAACTGTGGCAGAGTCTGAACCCGCTTCTCAGATCTTTTGTTGACATGATATCCTAGGAATAGCGAATCTTCGCCCCTCCTTCTCCCTCGTGTCAGCGACCGCTCATGTATGAGCAAAGTCCCCTGTTCAGCGCTCAGAGTTCAATCAGAGATCCTTTTGGAGTCTTTGTGGCTCGGAGCGACCATCGCGTCCGGCATCCATCCTTTTTCTCTGCTTTTGTGAGAATTGCAAAATCCTATAAACAGTTGCTCTTCCCATCCTAGGGAGAGCCGATTGGCACCCACGAATATTCATTCTGAGCTCCCTCCAGCCAGCAGCTCGAGGCGATCTCGACCATAGAGGCTCTCGAGACTTGCATGGTCGCTTGATGATTGTGTGGAAGTTTCGTAGAAGTTCCTCCCCGAGCTTGCTTCTCTAATATTCCGAGGAGTTTCCGAGACCACGATGGGGCTGTCGTCCCGGTCAGACTGATACCCCCAATGATCGAATCGGCGAATGACCTGGGCGTTCTCGGTGGTAGAGACCCGCCTAGCAATGCTACTCATGTCTCCGAATCGATTTGGCTGGTTTTGCCGAAAAAGGAGCTTCGGAGGAAGCGGCGATTGCGAATCTCGATCCGGTAACCGCGTGTTTATCCGACGCGAGGGCTTCCCGAACGAAGCGCCCGTGAGGAAACTTCCTCGTTTTCACTTGGGACAGAAAATCCTCAGCTCGGATCGTGCGGATGCGAGTTCGGTGTATATAGATAATAAGCCAGCTCCGAGACGTGACCAGAACCTGTTCCCTCCATTTCAGCGGTCACTGTACGGTGTGCGACAAAGCTTACGACAAACCATTGGTATCAACGTCGTGTTGGCACGTTCATTGTGAAGCTTGCTGGAACCAGAGCTTGGTAAGTTTTCGATGAGTCTCAAGGATATATGGAGGGAGCCGCTAGAGGAACTCCGAGGAACCGAGACCGACGTTCCATCGGTGCTGCGGAGGGCGCTGGCAGATAGGAAGATGGTGATCATGAGATGTGGCCGAGACCCGCCTCCGAGGGTGTCCAATGTATGAACTGTTTTGCGTTCCGCCCAGTGACGCTCTTCGTCTCCTTTCAGGCCACGAAGCAATGCTGCCCACAGTGCGAGGCGGCAACCTCATCGCAAGAGCTGCGATCCATCCACCTCTGAGGTTGAACTCAACTTGTTTCCTCTCTTCCAAGTAATCTTCGTCAAACAAGACAGACGACCGGCAGACAGATGAGCTGACGAAAGCTTAGCTCTGGTCGGACTAGCTAGAATTTTTAATGTTGCCCCCCGCGGGGGAGCTTATTATTTATATTATTATTATAGTTGACTGGATAGATTGAATGATGATTTCGAGCGAGAGGCGATAGGAGTCACAGAAAGAGGATGGAATTCGGCGAATCCTGTCGATATCAGTTCAAGTAGGGAAGGAAATTGCGTGTCGGACGGGATTCGGCCACTTTTGAGAAGCGGATGTGTATCGAGCGGTGACCGTGTTAGAACTGTATATACATAGAAGAACGGTTAGAATATTTCTAGCATCGGTGTGGTTGGGGTGTCCGTTTCAGCTGTGAACTGATAATCACCATGCCGCGATGCAATCTTATCTCCCCTTGCTCGGAGAAAAAGTACATCGTTACTCACTCACCCACCCAGGCATTCGACTCAACCGAATCTAATACATGGTCGCGGATAATCGCATTACCAAGACGGAGAGCGGAAACTTAGCAACGTAGCTACGTCTCGAACCCTGTGAATAACTAGTTAGACTCGGTGCAATAACATTTCTTATTCAATTTCTATTTCTCTTTCTTTCGCCGTGTATGGAATAGATGACGATGACCACGAACCCAAAATGACGAAGCGTATTTAGGCGATGAATGGGGCGAGAGCTACGTACAATAATTTGGAAGGAAGATAATAAACAAGCCGTGGAGAATAGTCTGACTTTGTTTTTTATTCATTCGCATGATGCCGACTGCGGCGCGGTCCCACGTATCCTCATAACGTGTACGGAGTATTTCATGAGTTGAGGACGTGGCTCTCCATTTTTACATCGAGCCCGAACGAGCACGACTTACTTACGACGTAAGACTCTCAGGAAGAGACATTCCCAGCGAAACAAACGAACTTGGTTGAGAACGAGGAATTCTCCGCTGATGTGCATCTCCCTTAGATCAGAAATCGGAAAACTTATTTTCTCGTGTAATTCAAGAGGGAAAAAGCATTGAAGCCATTGAATTGCGACGCCGATGGTCGCAGACGGCGGCTGGTCGTGCAGGCAGATCGTCGGATTGATATTCCGTCTCCCCGCTCGCTCGCTCGCCCGCCCGCCTGAGCGTCAGTCTCGGCTCGGCAGCGGTGGTTCGAGTAGCTAGGCTGACATTTCACGCCCGGCGCACTGCACTGGCGCGCTAGCGGACTGAACTCAATGGCGCGTAGGGTTGACCGCGTAATGGATGGCTAGCTATAGGGTTCGCGTGTTGATCAGGGGAGCCTTGGATGGAGACGGGGAAGGACGAGGTCGATTAAGATCAACAGTGATTGTGATAATGGCACTTCTGCAGAAGTAGTCTGAATTCCTCCCGACACGAATAATACTACGTCCGAAACTATTCATAGCAGCTCCGACCAGACAAAAGGATAAATAGAATCATGAGAGCCAAGCCACCTGTCCCAAATTGTTCTACCCCGTCAGAGCGCTCTCACCCCGCAAAGTTCAAGACAGGACGCAAAAGATTATCGACGACTGAATCTTCTTCAGATGCTCGGAGCGACCATTGGTGCGGAGGGTGAGACCGAAGCCGTGGCGGCAGGGGATGCGGGAACGCTGCTAGGCGTTGAAGAGATATCGTGGCGTCTCTTCGAATTCTTCTTGCGCCTCGCATTCCTATTCCGGGATCGATCCGCTTTCCTCTTGATGCAATTACCGTCACTGTCCTTACGGCATTTCCTGCGAGCTTTCGTTGCCGCTACGGCTACCGTGTCGACCTCAGCGGCTTCCGGCTTAGCGACAGAGTGTTCGACCGGAGCGGCCGAGCTGGCAGATCTAGTCGGCGTGGAATTAGCAACCTTGCTCGCCTTACGCCGTCCACTTCTAGCTCCCCCACCTCGAACTGGAAGGAAAGTTTCTCGCTCGGTCACAAAGAAACTCTTCGAGCGGGTCTGAACTCGCTACGGATATTTGGACGCGGCGCGAGCCATTCCGGGTATGCGCTTGGGGCTGGCAGAAACCGCTCCGGCGAACCCATGCACGCCTCGAGATGAAGTTTCGAGAAATAGCACCCACCTTTGCCGCCGCCGCCTCCGCCTCCAGGTTCGCGGTTCGCGTCTCCCGAACATATTGCGAATATAGCCACCAGAATACAGAAGAATAGAATGAGTCCGTAGCGCATGGTGCTGCGATACGAACGACGACGTTTTCTCAATTGAGAGCAGAGATCACCACCGCGGACAGCAGCGTGAGAGATGGATGCCACAACGGGGCCTCCGATTGAGGCTCTTTCTTTCCTCGGAGAGAGCAGACTACGCTTAAAGCGTTTAGAAAAATGGCGTGCTCACACGAAATACGAAAGTCGTCCGTCGAGCGGTTCGTGATTCGTGACACGGACGGGCTGTCTCTCCGTTCGCTTACTGACTAGGAGACGTATATCCCCGATTCTTTCTACGCTCAGAAGCCCATTGGATTCCGCTATGCCGCTACATTTTTGACTTATCTGTCCCACAGTCGCCCACCCACCAGAACTGCATAAGATAGGCTAGAATGAATTGTTTTGTCTGTATCCATTTCGTACCCGGTCTTCAGCATAGGCCGTACCGCCCAGGCGATCACGGCGCTGGGCTATGGAGTCAGATAGAAACTTTTCAACTGTCAACACAGCTTCGGGATGTGCGGGCTCTCTGCGGGCATCAGACCGAAAGGGCAAACTCATCCCCGAATTTTCCCACGTCCCTCCTGAGGTGCGGCTCGATCGAATCGTAAGCCAAGAAGTCCGAAGATATTCCAAGTAAACGGCGACAATCACGCGACGGGCCATATTTCAACGCTTCTGACCCCGGTTAGAGGCTCCGCTGCGCTGGAGCGGAAAATGCTGACAACCCTTCACTCAAAGCTAAAGTCATGAAGGGGAGACGCTATATCTCGACTACAACGCTAACCGATGCGGCCCCAGAACGACGCCGCGCCGGTTCGGCTTGAGATTCTGATCGGGCTAAAAACTATACCGAACCCGTTATATCGAGCAGCTTATATAGCTAGCCCTAGCCGGCCTGCCGCAAGTTATCAATTCCCGACCGAGAAACTGACCTCGCTCTTCAAACGGATTCTGATCGGACCCACCACCCTCGCAATTTTCGTCTTGCCACAGCCAACCCAGAAGAACGGTAAAAGCAAGCTATTTTACTACTCTTTCCCCTAGCGTCAATCGCGCCGCCATCGCTGTTCCTATATAACTCGCAGTACATACCTCGAAAATCACAATTCAGAGTTCAATATCTCAGCCCCGCAAACATGCTCGGAGTAAGTCACGATACGGACTTGTGGATGTGCCCGCGCTATCGAACCAGGATACAAACGCCGACGTTTTTCAATGGGCTGGAACTCTTCGGAGCCAATCTGTCATTATAGAAGAACTCAATTATCCCATTTCGACGTCGCATTGAGCTCTGGAGAAATTCCTTACCCGCTTTTCTTCCAGTCCTTGTTAGCTGCGGCCAGCCTACTGTCTGTCGCTATCGCTGGCCACATCGGAGGTCACGGAGGCCAGTCGAGCGCCCTCCGGCACCAAGATGATTACGGAAACTACGAGTTCAAATACGACATCAAGGATGGCTACGGAAACGTGAACGGACGCCACGAGAAGGGAGGCCACCACGGTGTCGTCGGATCCTACTACCTCGGAGAGATCGACGGGAGACACCGCAGCGTCGAATATCAAGCCGATAAGCTCGGATTCAGAGCTGCCGTGAAGACCAACGAGCCCGGAACCAAGAGCAGCGAGCCTGCATTCGCTCCTTACAGCTCCGCATTCGGGAAAACAATCCCATCCGGAGCCATTCATGCCGCTCACGGAGGATACGGTCACCACGGATATTAGACTCAGGCCACTTCCTCAATTTTCAAAGATTCCGGTCGACGGAATCTGATCTGCTGCCTTCTCCAAAACTAGTCGACGTGATCTTCGCGTGATCTCCTGCCGTTCCCCTGCTCGAGGATTTTACAAAAGCTTCTGCCGCCATCTTTTAATTCTGTGAATAAAGTTGATACATATTTTGTCTTCCCGACGCTCTCGGAATCGCGATGTCTTGCCATCGATTAGCGATCAAATGCAGGTGGGAAGGAAGATGAATGAGAGGAGTTTTCCTCCCAGAGATCAATGCTATCGATGCCGAAACCGAGTCTGGCCACTGTCATCGACCGAAGCTTAGATTCCTCCGCCGAAAATTCCGCATCGTGCTGAGAGAACGCGACACTGCTGACCAAGAGCCTCCCTGACCAAGATTATAATTTGCAACCATTTGTGATTCTGTTGCAGAATGGCTCGAATTTTCCAGTCGAGGTACCCCGAAAAATATAGTAAATATTGCGTCCGTGAACACTGGCAGTTTTTCGTCCGCATATCTTTCGCTTTTTTTCGACGAGGTTCGCGCAGCAGGTTTTCACGTGGAACCATGTGTCCGGTTATTGGTATCCCGTAGACAGCCCGATGCCGTCGGAGATTCGCGGCACGCTAAAGTTTCGGCTGCCACGAGAATCCACAAACTAATCGGTCGTCCGTTCTCGCACCGGACCCCAAGAATAGTCAGCGACTCATGACCAGGAAGGCGACTCGCTCCTACCTCGACTGGAAAACTCGTTTCGCACTCGCGAAACCGATTGATGCCGAGTTTCCGAGGAACCGAGGCCCATCCATCGATTGGCGGAGCATCTGATTTTCCACCATTGCATCGTACGCGCTACTTCGATTCGAAAATGCCGATCAGACTTCTTACATGATGCCTGAGCATAGCGAGGGAGGCGGGGGCTTGTCCGTTCGGGGTTGCAATCTTTCAGAGCTTCTAAGGGGCTGCAGATTACGTTGTCGCACTTTTCTTCGCACTTTCTTAAAGAAAAAATCGGTAAGGTCCGGCCTTTCCGTCGACCACGGGGAATTCAGAAGTACCGCCTCCAATAGAGGCGCCAGGCAAACTGTCTGTGAGCCTTTTCTATGTCACGCGCCAGGCAAAATTGCTCCGCTCTTCTCAGCCGTTTCTTCAAAGTGATATAATGCTGAAGGCTGTGGGGTGACCTGGAGAAGCTTGTAACGGTCCTAGCTACCCTGGTATTGCCGAGAGACGACTCAGCTTGGAGAGATTCATGCATATATGTACGATCAATGAGACACCCCGCAAAATTCGAGCGCGAACAGAGTCGGTAAGGAGATGAGAGCTCTCTATGGATAGCACATTGTCATTTGGGAACCTGAGCTGTCCGAATGTATTCAAATCGATGTCGATTATTCGCAGTGACTGTTCTCGATTTCCCTCCGCGGGCGAGAAGTCCGGATGAGTGAGGATTATCTCTGGTCACCAGAATACACTCCTTCCCTTTCCCTACGGAGCTCGGAGAGTCTCGATTCTCGTATTCCTCGGTCTATATCCGGGACTTGCGCGAATCCTCCCATGTGAGCCCATACGAAAAACAGAGCGTCGAGAAATCTTCTCCGTGTGTCGCTTCCCCTCTCAAATGCTCGAAAGGATCTCGGTCTCTGAGGAGAACTTCGCGAGCTTCCCGCTTCCCCTCGAGCAGTGACAGCATCTGCGTGTGCCAGGACTGGAGCCGCTGTTGCTTCCCATTTCGTCCATAGGGACTCAGGAGCACGCGCTGCAGCGATTTCCCGGCTCCACTCTACATGTTCGTCCCATAATATTGCAGGCAAACGGGAATCACGCACATGGAGAATTCGCTAGGTAGCAATACGATATTCGTGCTGGTCTCATATCTCAACTTTCATCTGCTGTATAAGGGGTGTGACCTGTTGACCGAGGTTCTCGTCGCAGAATATCATAATACATACCTCACTAGGATTCGACTTGTACGGATTCGAACATCAGCCTGAGTTGAAGTTTCATTTCGTCGCTCGAGGAGCCTTGAGAACCAAGTCTACTCTGTGCAGGCCAAGTATTTCGGATGCTCCCTCTGGTAGATTCCATGATGTTTTCGGCGCCTTTCCGGAGGTCCGCTCCGTTCGGATCCGTGCTGCGCGGGGCTGCCGTCGTCCCACGTTCCTCGCTCAAGAAGGTCGTAAGAGCCTGTTCTATACTGGCATTTGACGATTTATGACTCTGCCTGAATTTCCGTAGATGTTCGTCCAGCGCAGTCGCCTGGCTCCTCTCGCTTATGTAGCGGGCCAATCTTGACGCGATCCCCCTTCGTTGGATCATGCGGTATCCCACGCGATCGCAGCGGCGAATTCCGTACTCATAGCTCGCAACTTAAGTGTTATGTATAACTAGCGCTCCCGGTCGGTATCGCTAGACTCACTTCACATGCGCTGGCTCTGAGTGCGCTGGCTCCGAGTGCGCTGGCTCCGAGTGCGCTGGCTCCGAGTGCGCTGGCTCCGAGTGCGCTGGCTCCGAGTGCGCTGGCTCCGAGTGCGCTGGCTCCGAGTGCGCTGGCTCCGAGTGCCCCCGCATTCCCGTTTCCCCGCTNTTCCCCGTTTCCCCGCTTTCCCGTTCCCCGTTTCCCCGTTTCCCCGTTTCCCCGCTTTCCCG